TCGGAAAAGCAAGAGGGGCGGGGTAGGTAAGGCCAGGAGGGGGCTTGTGTAACCTCTCCTGAAACTGCCCCAAATAAGGGGGAGGGAGGGGGGAGGGAGGCAGACTGACTGTTTGTCTATAAATTTTAAATGTTTGTGCACGCAACACACAAACAGAAATTAAGTGCAAACTGTTGGGGCAGCTCAGAGGCAGCAACTCAGAGGCAGGCAGGCAGCAACTTGAACAGTTTCTCCGCAACTTGGACAACTTTGGACACTCATTACCAATGACCCAGGGCTCCATCTAAATACGAGTATAAACTTGTATATGTTTGGGTGAGTGTGTGACCTTGACATGACGTTGGCCAGTTTGTCGTTGAAGTGGCACTAAATGCCAGCAGACGACGACGACGACGACGAAGACTGGCCAGCAAAATTGATGACTGTGAAAAGTTTTTTCCCCGAAAAGAAATCAAAGTGCAGGGAAGAAAATAAAAAATTAGTCTGTCAATGACATGAACAGAGAGAAAAACGGAGAAAAACCGTTGAGGGTAGGAAAATTGGAAAATTAGTCTAGTTTACCAGAAGTAAATTCAATTTCAATTTGCGATTTAAAGGCCAAGTAACTTTGGCATTTGAAAGTGATGGACGGACAGATGGTAATAGAATTTCTGCTGCCATGAAAAGTCTGCGTTTTTTTTGGGGTTTTCCATTTAAATTTTCTCAAGTTAATAGTTTTTGATCTTTATAGAACTTTACAGAGCTAAAACAACTTCAAGATTGTTCAGTTTTAAAGGCTGAAAATCAAAGTTATTCCCCGCAGAGGCGGCTTTCACTCAGCTGCTTTTATCGGTCATCGGCCATCCCAGCTGGGGATTGCATAACATTTGCCAGCCAGCCAGCCAACTCACTCGATTTGACACTTTTCTTGCGTAACTGTCATGTGCAAAAAACAGACAGAGGGGGGAAAGAGGCTGAAAAGGAAAACATAAACCCCGAGAAAGAAAAAAGAAGCGAAAGAGCTGAAATACGCGAACTTATATGCTGGATGAGAGGATGAGAGGATGAGAGACAGGCAGTCAGGGGATTAGAGTCGTCGTCACTAAGCCGCGATCGAGCGTCTGAGGCCTAACAGAGGAGGGGGTAAGGGGAGGGTACTCCCCCCAGAGGAGGGGGATAAGGGGGCTAAGAGGAGGCAACGTCAGCGAACGTCAATGCGGATGGCACTCAAAGTGCGACTAAATCCCAAAGCCAAAGAGTACGAAACCGAGAACGAAACCAGGTGCCAAGTGTATATGACACTGTGAGAAAAAGGGGTGTGATTAGTGAATAAATCTAGTCAAGGGGGGTTGCCTAGAAAGTAACTAAGAAAGTAACTAAGAAGCTGGCAAGTTAAGTTCAAGAAAAGTTAACAAAAAAAAAGATAAAAAGTACTAGAAAAACCTCATGAAACCTCCTCCTTTCTCTCCCTCTCTCCCCAAGGGCCAACTTTATTAGCAGGTGTTTATAATTTCGATTTTATTACCAAAGAAGAAGCACACCTCCCAGTGTAAGGAGTATATATAGCCTGCCTCTCTTCTGTGACAATTCAAATCAGCAACGCACTGACAGGAATTAACCTAATTTTACAGCCAGCCAACTCCGAGACACGACTCCCCTCTCCGATTTCCACCGATGAATGGAATGGAGGTATGGGAAATGCCCAAGAATCCAATATCCAGAATCTCCAGAATGACTATATAGTATATATATATATATAGCCATGTCTGAATGTTGGTGAGGCAAACAGCGAACAGCAAACAGCGAACAGCGAACGACTTTCAGAATGCGCTCATGTAGAAAATCCAGCGATCTGTTCCACGTCCATGCCGCATTTTTCATGCCGCACTACGTTGTGCACTTAATAGTTGCCCATAAACACGAAACACGGAGACCAGAGCAGAGCAGAGCAGAGCAGAGGCGAACGGCCAGAAAAACCAGCTGAAAATGCTTGGGGAGCAGCCAGCAGAGTCGAGGAGGGGGAAGAGGTGGGAAAACCAACCCAACCAACAGCCAAACCCCCTTGATTTTTCTGCATCGTGAACCACATGATGCAAAACTAATTCGAAATTAATGTGTGTGCGCTTTGTCTACGTCGATTGGTGGTGGCTCCTGCTTCTGCTGCTGGCTTTCCCCCTTATGGAGTTGTTCTTGGTCCTTGAGGGGTGGCCCATAACCCATAACCCATAACCCACCCACTTCTTCTCCCTTCTACCCTCTGGCTGAGGCAATGACAGGTAGATATTCGATGTCCTGACAAAACTATTTACGTGGAGCAATAAAGGTTCCCCCGCAGAGGAGTGGGTTGGGTGGCGAAAAAGTTCAAAGACAATGATACGGGTTATTTTCCAGAGGTTAAAGGAAAACTCTAGCCTGGACATGACCTGAATGTTGTTTGAAGATTTTCCAGCAGCTTTCTTCTTAAAGAAAGGTTTCTTCTTTCAGCTCTCAGCTGTACTTTCTTAGCCAAAAACTTCTAAAGAAGAACTTTCCTTTTCACATCCCACTAAGCTTAGCCCAGCTTAGCCAACATAAAGCGACCTTCAAGCGTCGATCCTTTATAGTTTAACCTAACCTAACCGAAGCTAACCCCCAACCCCACCCACAAAAACAGGTGACATACCCAACCATTGCAACCTTTTTCGAGATCTTCTGCAAAGAAGGCAAAATCTATTCACGACTCGATGGAAACTGGAAACTGGAAACTGTTGCACTTGACTATGCAAACAGGGCAAGTGGTAGAGGGGAAAATCAAGGGGCAGGGCGGGTGGTGTCAGTGGGTGTACACAATGATGATGATGATGATGGATTCATGCCACCAGGAGCGGCAACAACGATGGCAACGGCAACGGCAACGGCAACGGCAACGGCGCCTCTTGTTTATTTATGTGCCTGTCCTGTCCTGCTTGTTTGCCCAATGATTCAGCTCTCAAGGATCTCCGGCACTTGTTCGGCATCCTCGACGTTGGCTGCCAACGCGGATGTTGATGCGGATGTTTGTTAAAGAAAAACATCCAAAGTAGAGAGTGCAAAATGGGTGGCTGGGTTTGGGATATTTCAGAAGGCCACAAGGTTACTGGAAATATTTTTCTAAGCGCGAAATGAGAGTGTTTGAACTTTTATGGCTGCCAAAGCCGAGGGTTGGCTGCTTCAATGGTATAATTGCTATTGCTACAACAACAATTACAAACAACAACAACTGCCGCGGGGGCAGAAAAAAATAAAAAGTGGGGTGGTTTCCCTGGCCTGGCTTCTTCTTTCCCTTTTAACCCAAACAACGTTGCCGCTTTCTGTGGCAATCAAATGAAGTGTTCCTGAATGGTTTTCAAAGTTAATTTGAGTGATGCTCGAGTTGGTGTTGTTGTTTCTGTTGTTGTTGTTTCTCTTGTTGTTGTTGTAGCTATTGGTATTGTTGTTGTTGTTGTTACTGGTACTGACAACCCTCGGCGTGTTTATTAACATGTGTTTACAACAACTTAAAGCGCCCATATGGAATCGAATCGCTGGTCCAGGCAGGCAGGACACAACGACGACGAGACCAGGGATCTTTTTTTTTGGGCTTTAAACCAACCACCACCAACTGCCACCCACTTGAGCCACCCAACCAGCCAAGCTATTCGAAGCATTTGAAGCATTCACAGCGCCAGTAAGCGATGCTGGTAAACACTTCAAGTTTCCGTACCGTTGGCCCTGTCTGCGGGTCAATTGTTGAAGGACTTTTATGGCATCCTGCGACACTCGACCAAACGCTCGAAACTGATTAAGATCTCTCGTTGGGTTAAAGCAAAGCGAGGTTGTGCATGGGTTAATCCTGTGCTGCTGGGAACCACAGAGATGGTGGGAAGGCTGGCAAGGCTGGCAAGTAACTACAAAGAAAGCTAATGGCTAGCCTAAACTTCAGACTAAGAGATACTTTATACCATAGTTAATGATCGCAGCAGATCATCTTTAAGGTTTCATTGCTATGCTTCTGATATTTCTTGGGCCATAAAAACAGGGAAAAAAAGGCATATGTCAGCTCTCTTTCCTTACCTCCATGGCTATCTAATTCGAAAGCTACCCCCCATCGACTAGGCTCTGGCGATGGAATCTCATCATCATCATCAGCATCAGCATCTCCAACTCCATCTCTTCCATACTCATCCCATCAGAGTCCGACTTGGAACTCATCCCGCGTTAAGCTCTTCCTTGCCAGAGTCAGTCGATGTGACAGGTGCCAGATGAGACTGGAAAACGCAGAATCACAGTCACAGAGCTCAGATCGTTTGGACAGAGACAGAGACAACCCTCTTTTGGGTTGCATCTGGTGCGGATTAGATTATGCATAATAAAGTGTAATTTATTTCTGGCAACTTGTCCCTCGGGGGAACGCTTGCTAGCTTCCTAGCTGGCTGGCAGATTTACCGAAAAACTTCAAATTCAAAACTTGAAACCTCTTTTCAAAACGAGAACGTCGCAGTTTCTTTCTTTCTGAGTGACACGTTTCGAAGCTCGTTTTCTGCTTATCTCGAGCCAAACAGGCGAGGAAAACTAGGGAAATTCGAACGTGTGTCAGCATTTTGCATGGCCCAGAGCTTAGAAGTCTGCACCAGAGATAAGCAGAGACAGCCCCCTCCCTCTGCCCCTTTCCCTTTGACCTAATCAACTTATATAGAAATCAGCGAGTGCAGTTGACACGTGACCAGGGAGAACCCAGACCCAGAAACCAGAACAGTGAACACCAGGTCAAAGGGAAGGGCTACTTAGACCATGAAATGGTGACACGTGACCACTCCCACCCGTCGTCGTCAGTCAGCGAAAATAAACCCAATTGCAACGTCGTTTTGGGCTTAGCTCAGTACAAATATTATTTATTGCAATTGTATTTTAAGTGGAATAGAATAACCTACCCCCCCGACCCCCTACCCCCTTTCTACTACACTTTATAGCTTAGCAATTTGTTCAACTTTTGGTTACTAACTCTCTCTCTTTGATTCTTACAGATTCATTAATGGGCTCGGCGAGCGAAGACGATGACGACGATGATCCACCGCATTTGCGGGCCACGGCACTCGGATTGGGCGTACTGGGTCCCAATGGACCCGACTCAGCGGGCGGACCTCTGGGCACATCGGATATATCAGTACAAAGCATGAGCACCGATAGCAAAAATACCCATGACGATTCCGATCAGGTAAGTGAGGGGTGCAGAGTGAAGAGTGCAGAGTTGTTGGGTGTTTAGAATAGCGAATCATTAACTTGTTTTTCCTCGTTTTTCATTCGAGTAATGAATGGATTACCCTGTAGAGTATGCTAAATGAGAGATTATCTGACAGAGATATCAACAAGAACTTGATTAGAAGTTAGGAAAGGGGATTATCAAATGATAAACCAAGAAATCCATAAACAAATATCCCAAAAACTTCCCATTTTCATACCCCCAACTTACCTAACTCTTCTAGAACTTTCCCCTTAACTTCCCAACTCCCCTAATCACTTGGTTTAAAGGGTATTAACAACACCCATCATCATTTCCCAACTAAAGACTATTCAGTCTTTGATGATCGTTCGGTTAGGTGGTGGCATTGTTGGGGTCTCTCAAGCCACAGACACCTCACACACTCCACACATCCACACTCGATTTGATTAATGATTGGCAAACGATTATGAGACGACCCAGCATTGTCTGTCTCTGCACTATATAGACAATATCTTAAGATATATATAAACCATCTTGCTTGATCGCAGGGCTCCTTGGATGGCGATCCGGATGGACGTGGCGATTCCCAGGCGGAGAACAAAAGTCCCGACGATGCCAACGGATCGAAGCGACGCGGTCCGCGCACCACCATCAAGGCCAAACAGCTGGAGGTGCTCAAGACGGCCTTCAATCAGACGCCGAAGCCGACACGCCACATCAGGGAGCAACTGGCCAAGGAGACCGGGCTGCCCATGCGCGTTATACAGGTGAGTGAGTGAGAGATCGTAAGATCCACCAACCATGCCATCTGGCATTACTTTGGTTAGGATTAGATTAGGAATATGAAATATTTGGATGATATGTGGAAAGTTACTTTGAGTTTTTGACTTAAGATTGGGGTATCAAACCCTATCAAAGTGATATTTCAAAGGCATTTCCTCTTCTCTTAGTTAGTTTTTAGTTTGTAGCTGTTTTTGATCTACAAATAAGAACCTTAAAACTGATTCAGAAATGATTTTGAAAGCTAAAGTCTGGGATTTTTAGCCTTCCGCTGGAAAAGGTAAGTGCAGCCCAAAGCGGAAGACTGCGAAAAGTTTTAGGTTTGAGCTGTACTTTAACGATGGCCAAAGCTGGCGAGTTTGTGCTTATCAAGGTAGTAGAACTACTACTAATACTACTACTAATGGTAATAGTAGTAGTATTAGTAGTAGTAATAGTAGTAGTATTAGTAGTAGAGTTCCAAGCAGCGACCTCCAAGCACTCTTTGGCTTTCTCGAGTGGCATGAAGCGGCCTGCCCGGCCCGTCTGCGTTTCATCAGCATAAAAAAGGCATAAATTAAGCGCGCTTTGACTGGCAAATGTTTAAACTAAAGCAAACGCGGTCGGTCGGTTACCGCAGAGAGAGAAAAAAAAATCATAAAAAATAGTCGGACGCGATTTTTCAACGTTTGCCCCGTTTGGCCCGTTTGGCCGCTTGGCCGTTGCCGCCTTGCAACGCTTCATTGCTCGGCCAGTAAAAACAACAAACCAAATACAATAAAAATGAAATTAATGTCGGAACGAGGGCGGACACAGTCGCCGAGGTGGGCGTGGCAGTGCATTAAAAACGGAAGTTCAATGCGCTTAAAAAACAGCAAAAAGGCAAAAAAAATAAAAAGGAATATTTCATGCAAAGAGCAATTTGCCAAAACGCAAAAATTAAAAGCTAAAATCGCAAAAATTCCACAAAATTAATCTTCTTCTTCTTTAATGCTCCTCCCTCCCGCCAAGAAACCAAAATGAGAAGCGCCGAGAAGGGCTTAAAAATGTTAACTAACATGCAATATGGCTATTAACAGAAATCGAGGCTAGAGAAGCTTCTGGGCTTACGTAATGAGGATTAGAAAAAATGGCTTAACAAATTGGGGAGAGAGAGTAGAGATAAAGATACAGATTATCTAGATTATCTAGATTAATTGAGGAAGTTACTAAGGCGGAACAGTAATTGCTGAAGCTTGCTAAGTAGATGCGCTGAAAACTGCAAAACTGCAAAACCTTTCAAGTTTACCGATCTTAAGTAAGAGGTTCTTGCAAATGAAGTTTCTAAATTGCAAGCTTAATAAGTTACTTGGATTTAGTACAAACTGCAGCTATTAAAAGTGGTTAGATTGAAGGGCAAAGTTACTAAGACGCCTGCTAATGTGGAATATAGTGACTGCTCCTGAAAGTATCTTCATTAATCCAAACCCCAAAGAGCTCTTTAAATGATATCCTTTATGGGATTAGTCTGTATAGAAACTCCCTGCTACTCTCCTACTTAACTAACCCATCACCTTTCCATTTCGTATTGCTTGCTGACAGATCTTTAAGTTGTAGACCCTCCTACGCTGCTCCTACTCCTACTCCTACTCCAACTCCTACTCCTACTCCTCCTCTCCGAATCCTTTTCCCATCGTTAGGCAGCTGTTCGTTCTTGCTCTCCTGACCTCCTGACCTGTCAAGGATATCCTCCGCCGTAGCATATGTTCTATAAGATCTGACCGCAACAACATCATTAAGCCGACTCTTCTTTCGACTCGCCTTTGAGCACCTTGCTTGGTCGTATGATTTTCAACAGGTTAGAGGGTAGAGACCTCCTCCTTCTCCTCCTCCTCCTTCTTCTACTACTAATTTCCCGCACCCTCCTACAGCTGCTTTCATCTTTTGTTTTCACCCAAAAAGAGATCACCACGCGATCGAGAAGGCACTCGAAATACCCAAAGAAATTCCAATCCCATGACCACTTAACGGGCTCTTAAAGAGATGGGCACGGGTTCTCGGTTCAGTTTAGTTCGATTCGGTTCGGATTCGGGATTCGGGATTCGGGATACTGTATACTGGATGCTGCTATAGAGAACCCATTCTGTATAGTTTTCTTTCGCTGTCGCTGGCCTTTGATGTGTCATTGGTTACAGTTAAAGGATATTTAGGCGGCATTCGTTTCTTGTTGCTGCTCCTCTGCAGCGACGATCTTTTTTCTCGCTTTTTGTGAGACGACAAGTGTGACACAATCAACACCTCTTTGGGGTCCCTTCTCACAGCTAAACGAAAGTGACAAATGCCAACAAGTTGAAGAGGAGGCACACCAAACAAATCTTAATCTGCCTGAGACAGAGAGAGAGAGAGTGAGTAAGAGATGGCGGGGGCATTTTTGGACATCTGTGGCCTGTCAGCGGCAGTCGGAAGACACACATTTGCATCTTCATTAAGACGCAAGGCAAGGCAGGGCAGGGAAGGGCTTCTGCTGCTGCTGCAGCAGCACTCTTCTTTCTTTTCACCATCAATATCAAGCATATCGAATGTCAGAGATATATAAACATAGATATGGCCAGCTTCCAGCTGACTTTTTCCTAAGAAACAGCTTTGAGTAACTCGATCTCCATCAAAGCAAAGTTGACTTCGGGAGTTCGTCATCAGCTCATCAAGAGCAGCGGGGGAATGGGTTATGGATTTGAGATTTTTTCGGGCAGGCACCTACCTTTACCCCTTTACTTCTTTACCCCTTCCCCGGCACAGATGTCAACGAGAAAATTTGTACAACTCTGATGGCGGGGAGCATCTTTCTCTTGGGCGCCCGCCTGCTGTGAGTTTTATAATAAATTTTACAACAACAGCAGCAGCAGCAGCGGCAACCTGAGGGCATGACACAAAAACTTCTTAAGAACTTTTGCCGACACACAGACAACGGTGGGCGGCTGAGGCAGAAAGAGGAAGAGAGAGGGCGGGGCAATGGCCGCGCCACGGGACAGAAGTTGGGCCCCACGTTGGGCGCCAATACAAACAATATGCTTCAGCTACGCCATACCCTCAAACCCCCACCACCCATGCCAGGCATGTCTTGAACTTTGACATAAAAGCACTGAACTGAGGGGGAAGGGCAAAGCAGAGGCAGCAGGAGAAGGAAAAGGAGCTGGAGCTGGAGCAGAGCGTATCCAGATCAGAATAGATCCGAAAACTTGACCAAGCACAACCGACAAAGTTGGGGATACTATGAACTAGCTAAGGGGAGGTATAAGCCTAGGACTCTTTGCTAGGCTATGATAAGGTAAACATCAGGGAAAAAGTAGGTTAGACCCTGTCAAGATGAGGGATAGCTTTCAGATACACCTATAATGACATTCCCAACCTGCATTGATCAAACTAAAAGCACAATATCTCCCCCCCGTAGAAAGCTATTTGGTATTTCCTGAGGTTTCCCTTTCAAGTTCCCTTCCTTTCCTCATCCCAAACTAAACCTATTCATTATGGAAGCTAACCTAAAGCTGATCACCTGAGAAACCACCTGCAAATCAAATTCCCATGAGAAGGGCCCGGCCATAAAGCCCATTTGTTAAACTGATAGATAGGTGGATAGACTTTTGGGCATATCTAAACAACATAACTACCAAGGCCCAGGCCTAAAACCAAAGGCGTTTTCGAAGAGTTATGGCCACGAATGTCGCCCGGGAAGTGACCGAGACAGATTCTCCGGTTCAGAGAAGAAAGAAGTCAACCTGTTTTGCGGGGGATTTTCAAAAGCAGAAAGAAACAAGGGTCAGAGGCGGCGGCGGCAGCGGATCTTTGGGTTTCTTTTCGCTCCATTTAAGCTTTGAAAAATTATAAACAAATAAGAAAAAAAAGAAAGAAGAAGGGAGAGAGGGGGGGTGTAGGTTAGAGGGACAAAATCACACAGTCGACGAAGCGCGAGAGCGGCAGCTAAACAAAAATTTTAATGTGGCATGCGCTGAGCTTGGCGCCAGTGACTTGGAGATACAAAGATACAAAGATACAGAGCAGATACAAAGATACTTCAGATGCCTAAAAACTCAAACTGAGATACTGAGATACTTTGATACCCCCAAATGCGGATGCGAGGAGCCGGACATTTGTCAAGCGATGTCGCGCCGCCGCCATGCAGAGGCGTTTATTTGTCAACAGAAAACATATTCGAGAGCATTTCCAGCCGTGATTTGCATTCGCCTGCCCTCTGCCACCTCCTCCGCCCCCCTTCTTTCCTCCTCTTATGATAGCCCCAAAGATTTATACTTTCATGTTTTATCTTTGGGGAGCATCGGAAGTTGACAAATTTAAGCTGACTTCGTATAGAGTTTTCGTTTTTCGTGCGTGTTTTATGGCCAACTAATTAGTCAAAGCGATCTCTGAGCTGGGCTTTTGCCTTTTGTTATTAATTGAGCGGAAATTGTTTTGATTTCGATGGATGATCAAGTGGGTGGAGAAGGGAGGGGAAGTTCATTCGGCAACCGCAAAACTTGAAAAGAAAATGCTGCTCCAAAATCGTAGATTGAACCATTCCAAAAAGGAGGCTAATTTAACGCATTTATTCCAACATGGATTGGTAGTTCAAAAGGCGCCCCCCGCCCCCCGCCCTCCTCTTCTCTGCTCTTCTCTTCTCTTCTAAATGACTCGGCAAAAATAGGGCTGATGATGTAGTCAGAGGGTTAGTTAGAGAGAGAGAGAGGGAGGAGGGGGGAAATTATAATTTCAACAACTCATCAAGTTGCTATTAATTTCGATTGAGGCGCCACGACGAAGCTACCAAAAGTGACCGAAAACGAAATACAAACCCAAACCCAAAACCGAAACCGAAACCGAAATCGAAACCCGGCCAAAGAGCCGAGTCATGCAAGGAGCTCTCCTCTTTTCAGTAACACCTACTAAACTATGGGAAAAAGGGCAACGATCCACCTGAGATACAGAAGAAGAAGTTAATTATCTGTTAACTCTTACTCGAGGCCAATTCACGCCTCAC